CACAGTTCAGTTTAGATAACCGGATCTAAAGTCACACAAGAAATTTATTTGAGATAACCGGAAAAAACGATCAAAAGCAGAAAAATTAGTCAAACTGACCCGAGTTTCGCGAATCCTTCAATGCGGCCCCTTAATATCTCGAGAACAAAACATCCATCAAGAACAAGCATTTCTATGAACCCATTACTGTCCATATAAATGGGACCTTCGTAGCAAGCACGAGCTTTCTCCTCAAGCTTTCGCAATGGTTGTTACGTTGCAAGATCTTATTGACAGCACGCCATTTGTGGTACTGCATGGACTGGAGTTGCGATCCCCCATTAATATGGTACGGACCAAGCGAGACGGTCTCAGGAGTTGCGATCCCACATATTTTTATTTTCATTCATTTTATTTAGTCTTTCACGTTTTTTAGTCTAATTTATTTTTTTAATAATTATAAAAACAATACATATGAATTAGTGTGTAGTAAATGATTATTGAAACTTAAATGTTTTAAAAATATTTTTACCTATGTGGATACTATGGAGAGAGAACTCCCTAATTATATAATAGATTCCATTAAAGATTTCAAAATTTGAATCTTGTCCATCATTTACAAAAATATTTCAAAACGTACTTTTAAGTTTTTAAAACCCAAATTAATCAAAATTATGAATAAAATTTGATGAACCAGTTTTTGCGTCAAACCAGGTCATCAGTTTTAGCAGGTTTTTACCAGTTCCACCGGTCTAACTCAAATTCGGTTTCTAGATCAACCCAGAATCAGCTATACTAACGAATTACGGTTGGACTGGTTCAACCGATTGGTCCGGTTTTCAAAACTTGTTTACAAGTCAAGCCATTTACTTTTTCCACCACGGTTGGTCCTTTTCAGAATGCAAAATGTGTATCAATTTTTCGAGGATCGGTTCAGATTTCCAAGTTAGATAATCCTCTATATATTAATAGAGGAGACACTAAATGAAAAATCCTAGGTGTCATGCAAAGAGGATTTTAAGGAATTCTTAAGGAAAATTATTAAAAATTCTTAATAACATGAACCAAATTTATATCATATATACAATATATAATCATCAAACGAATATGGAAGAAACGAATATGTGGTAATTAGTATAGAATATTTTATGTGAGAATATTTTATTTTCTTTTCAATAAGACTAACTACTAGATTTTTTTACCCACGTCACACGCATGATTAGAATATTAAAAAAAAAACAAAAATTAATTATTTTAATACACGAGAGAAAGTAAAAAGAACAAAAATCAAATGATATATATCTCTCATATTTTATCTTACAAAAATTAATTTGCATTACACTTAGTAAATGTATATGATTTTTGAGAAATGCCACTTTTCAAAATTAATCAAAAATACCATCAATTAGAATTTTTTCAAAAGTGTCACTAATCCTCTATATTTCCAAAGTGTGAATAATTAGAATTATTGAGTATATATTTGGTGAAAAAAAATCATATGTGTTATTTAATAAGATTTTTAAGGAACATGTCATTTAAATTAACCAATAAAAATATTTCTATTAAAACTATATGCCATGGTGAAAATTTACATGTTTTAATTAATTTTATAACATAAATCCATTAATACATGTTCTACAGATTTAATTTAACTAAATGTAATATTTAGACTTATAATATATTTTTGAAAAAGTTTTCCATTATTATATTTGTAACAACATTATTTATTTGTAGATGATTCTACACTTACAAATATTTTTACATTTTATTATTGAAAAACATATATTTTTCGTTTGTTATGTCCGACAAATTCATATAAATCTAAAAATTTATTTGATTTATTGCATGTTCTATAATTTACATAAATCATAAAAATTAATTTACACTTCAAATTAATTGAAATAAATAACATTTGTATTAGTTTTAGTATTTTTATGCTAAGTTGATCAAAGCATATGACATCAAAATTGTTTGATCAAAATTTAAGTTTATTACATTTATGCACAATTCATATAATTTTATAGGTTTATAAATATTATAATACACGTCTAAATATTATGATCAGTTAGAAAGCATATTAAAGTATTTAATCCCACGCTTGGCGTGGATTAAAATCTAGTTGATTCATAATCTAGTATATATCAAATTTGTTTAGTTTACGATTGAAATCTCCAATAGATTTAGAATGCGTTTATACGCTGTTACATAGAGCCGGTCCTAAATTTTACAAGGCTATAAGCGAAAAAGAAAAAGAAAACCCGCTGTACATATATCGATTTTAATTCGTTTTGTAGTTCGTTTCCTTTTTGTTTTTGTTAGCATATTTTTCGTATTTCTTTAATTGTTCTCTTTTGTCAAATTGGGTTCACAAGACTTAAATGATATATGTAACAACAACATTTCCATCCAATAGGAAAACAAATGCTATTAATCCTGAAAATTTCGAATTTCGAAAGCAAATGTAAAAAAACAAAAAAAGTACGAAGGGATAACATATGTTTCCTTTATCTCCTTTGACCCGATTTGTATTGGCTCTTCTCAGAATCTGCATTCAGATGAATATCTGACATTACCGTATCTGGCGTTTCCAAAATCCTAAGAATGCGATTGATTTTTGCCGTGATTGCCTTCTTTGTGTCGTTGTATTTTGCAGTGATTGCCTTCCTTGTGTCATTCATCTTAGTATTCTTCCTCCTGCGCTTCTTTTCTTTTACCACTTTTCATTTGAAGGTGTTGTATCTTCAACATGTGATTCAATCTCTAAAGTTTTCCCAATATGAAACCATCAAGTCCAATATTGAATACAACCACTGATTTCCCCAAAAAACTTGTTTCCCTTTGAAATGGCCATATTGTACGAGTCTCTTCCAAACGGAATATAATAACCCCAAATTGCTTGATTCACAAGAAACAAATCCTTTCAACTACGTTTTCTTTTCTTTTTGAGTTTCTTTTACATCAGAAAAAATGATTTCGTATTTCAAAAATGATTTCGTAATGCAAAAACCGATATGGTTGCTCCATAACGGTTTTCCTAAACAACGCATGGTCAGAAGAAAGATTGTATTTTTAAATTGTTTTATTTATTGCTATTCATGTATGATGCTTTTCATTTTCATTTTATTGTTTTGTTATAAAATGGAAAAAAAAATTGCACTTTCCAAGTTTTTTATTGGAGTCATGATGTTCCATCAATCTTTACTAAACCACTGCGCCAAAGTAACTTTGCAAGCCAATGCTTGGTTCACTTGGCCTGAGGGCTAGCTCTGTCCATACGGTTTGAGTGATTTTGATTTTGTGTGTTTTTCGAGTATTTCTCTTTATTTCTAGGTCACGGGATCGGTGGAACATATTTCCTTCAACCTAGAGATAAATTATGGATCTGGTTTTTTCTACGAAAAACAGAAAAGTAAAATAAAAATGCATATTCGAGATACATAATGTGTTGTTATCATTATAGTTGTTGGCGATCATGCCAAAACGCATATAGTTCAACATTTTTTAGACTCGAGGATTGTAACGAGAGAACGGGTCCTATTCGGTTTGTGTTCAACTATTTCGACACGACCATATAAAAAACAAAAACATTTGAGTTCAACTATTTATTACCGTACTCAGATATGATGCGTCCAAAGTTATAAAAAAAAACACGTTTTTTTTGTTTTCCTGATAAGTTTTCATGGCCGGAACATCCATGCTTGGCAAGAGCAGCCGAAAATATTTTTGGACGAAGAAATACAAACCAAGTTGAAACAAGAGTTGCCTTATTGGAACGAAACTACAATTTGTCCCTTAAGGTTTTAACCTTTAAAGTCGTCAATTTATCTGCTGAACCATAACAACCGGATGCTTCAATCTGCAATAGACAACAAACACCACTGAAAAAGCTTGCTTAAAAGTCTTAGTGGTTTCACTGCGGCTTTTAATTAGACGAGGAAAATTTACTGAGAATGAAAAACAATCTATTTTTAGTATGCAACTTGAGGATGACTATCCAACTTACTTTATTGATGGGTGTGAAAAATATGCAAACTATGTTTAGGGGTTGTCTTCTAGACCATAGTTGTACACAATCTCAATCTGCATCAGTCACAAAAGACGATCACCACTTGCGACGAAAAAAGTGAGATCATGACGATTGGAAGTGATAAGTGCCGAGAAGAAAAATTACCCCTGCAGGTGGAGTCGGGTTTCTACAGAACTTTGAACCACCGGGAGCCCATGGAACTACAACAGAAAATGTGAGTCATTAGTGTCCAGTTCAGCAAGTGAACCGCTCTTGTTCTCTAATCTGAGAGGAATTTCATAAACCTAACACACATTTCTTCATATCAAATTAACCACTATTCATTTATGGGTCGAGATGCTTACCAATATAAGGATCAGGGTGCCGCCATTTGTTGTATTCTGATTCACCATGAGCAATCAATTTGTCGATTCTGTCAACATCCTCCTACAAATACCCCAATCAAAGGATCATATCAAGGGACACACAATGAGAAACAAATGTACATCGTAATCACTAATGTTGTCATCGTGTCAGCAGTTGAAAGAACAGTTTCATTATCTGATTCTTAACTCCAGTTTAAAAAGGTACATCATTTACTTAATGTCAACACAAACATTTCATGAATTGTGCTGTAACATTCATCATATACTGATGGAATGCGAGAACAGAGGTCTATATTTTCATGATACTGATTGGAAATACCAATTCAACACAAGAATTATTCAACAGCAGTGTAAACATCCGTGAAACAA